ACACGTTTTCTATCTGAAAAAAAAAAATAAGAATACCCCATGTCTAGCGCCAGGTGTGTGTGTGTGTGTGTGTGTGTGTGTGTGTGTGTGTGAGAGAGAGAGAGAGAGAGAGAGAGAGAGAAAGAGAGAGAGAGAGTTATTTTTTGTAAAAGGTAAGCTGATTCAGGCTAAAGAAAAAAATTTCACTAGGTGACAAAGACTGTTCTCAATGATTTCTTTCATAACAAGTCACGGATGGAAATACTATTTCTAACTTCAGAAGTGAGAGGAATTGCTTAGTCAGGGGTCGGGGTGGTATTCTCTAATTTGGAGTATGGAAATTCCATAACAGCACCTAATTTCTTCCTCTGTGCTTCTTAGATCAGAATATCCTGGGCACATTAAGATTGCACATGTTTTGAACTTTCTCATGTAAGTGACCCGAATTAGCAAGCACAGCCTTTTCTAACATAGCTACTTAGACGGCTCGTGTAGTGGGTTGAATTGTGTCCTACAAAAAAATATGTCCAAGTCCTAACCCACAGTACCTGTGATTGTGACTTAATTTGGAAACAGTCTTTGCAGATAGAATTAAGAATCTATAGGTGGGGCCGGCCCGGGAGCGCACTGCTACAGTGCGCTGCTTGGGAGCACAGCGGCGCTCCCGCCGAGGGTTCGGATCCCACATACAGACCGGCGGCTCACTGGCTGAGCGAGGTGCGGGCACAACACCGAGGGTTGCGATCCCATTGCTGGTCATGAAAAAAGACAAAAAGGAAAAAAAAAAAAAAAGAATCTATAGGTGAGATAATCTTGAATCTAGGGTGGGCCTTCAATCCAATGAATGGTGTCCTTTTAAGAGAAAGGAGAGAGAGATTTGAGACACAGACACACACAGAGGGGAAGGTCATGTGAAGACGGAGGCAAAGACTGGAGTGATGCCGCTTCAAGCTAAGGCACTCCAAGGACTGCCACAGTCACCAGAAGTTGGGAGAGAGGCATGGACTGAATTCTCCTCTAGAGTCTCAGGAAGGAACCATCCCTGACAACACCTTGATTTTAGTTTCAGACCAATGGCCACCAAAATCGTGAGACAACCAATTTTTGTTGTGTTAAGACACCAAGTTTGAGGTAAATTTTTATGGCAGCAATAGGCAACTAATAGCTCCTGTGGTAGGAGGTCCCATGGGTGAGGTCTCACCTGCTCACGGTGTGTGAACAGTGCCTCGCACCTTCATGAAGACAGGGCTCTCAGAGGACACAGGGGAAAAACAATGCACGATTCTGCCTTTGCATGTAACACTTTCTAAAGACAATTATTTTTCAGATGTATGTTCTGATACGTTAATACATTAACAGCTCAGTGTTTCCTTTTGTGTGTGTGTGTGTGTGTGTGTCACATAGTGCCATTGAATGTGTTTTGGTTTAGCCAGTGCTTTCAAGAATGGGTATGTGGACAGCTTAAGGATATGTGGCTGATCTTTTTTACACCATTCTGTAAAAGTTAAGGTGAGGAGCAGAACTCTGACCTGCTATGCTGTTATGAGGNGAGAGAGAGAGAGAGAGAGAGAGAGAGAGAGAAAGAGAGAGAGAGAGTTATTTTTTGTAAAAGGTAAGCTGATTCAGGCTAAAGAAAAAAATTTCACTAGGTGACAAAGACTGTTCTCAATGATTTCTTTCATAACAAGTCACGGATGGAAATACTATTTCTAACTTCAGAAGTGAGAGGAATTGCTTAGTCAGGGGTCGGGGTGGTATTCTCTAATTTGGAGTATGGAAATTCCATAACAGCACCTAATTTCTTCCTCTGTGCTTCTTAGATCAGAATATCCTGGGCACATTAAGATTGCACGTGTTTTGAACTTTCTCATGTAAGTGACCCGAATTAGCAAGCACAGCCTTTTCTAACATAGCTACTTAGACAGCTCGTGCAGTGGGTTGAATTGTGTCCTACAAAAAAATATGTCCAAGTCCTAACCCACAGTACCTGTGATTGTGACTTAATTTGGAAACAGAGTCTTTGCAGATAGAATTAAGAATCTATAGGTGAGATAATCTTGAATCTAGGGTGGGCCTTCAATCCAATGAATTGGTGTCCTTTTAAGAGAAAGGAGAGAGAGATTTGAGACACAGACACACACAGAGGGGAAGGTCATGTGAAGATGGAGGCAAAGACTGGAGTGATGCCGCTTCAAGCTAAGGCAATCCAAGGACTGCCACAGTCACCAGAAGTTGGGAGAGAGGCATGGACTGAATTCTCCTCTAGAGTCTCAGGAAGGAACCATCCCTGCCAACACCTTGATTTCAGTTTCAGACCTATGGCCACCAAAATCGTGAGACAACCAATTTTTGTTGTGTTAAGACACCAAGTTTGAGGTAAATTTTTATGGCAGCAATAGGCAACTAATAGCTCCTGTGGTAGGAGGTCCCATGGGTGAGGTCTCACCTGCTCACGGTGTGTGAACAGTGCCTCGCACCTTCATGAAGACAGGGCTCTCAGAGGACACAGGTGAAAAACAATGCACGATTCTGCCTTTGCATGTAACACTTTCTAAAGACAATTATTTTTCAGATGTATGTTCTGATACGTTAATACATTAACAGCTCAGTGTTTCCTTTTGTGTGTGTGTGTGTGTGTGTGTCACATAGTGCCATTGAATGTGTTTTGGTTTAGCCAGTGCTTTCAAGAATGGGTATGTGGACAGCTTAAGGATATGTGGCTGATATTTTTTACACCATTCTGTAAAAGGTAAGCTGAGGAACAGAACTCTGACCTGCTATGCTGTTATGAGGCTGTCACACAAGAGCCATCGTAGAGTCTAGGAGGCCACCAGGAGTAGAGCTTAAGCCCACATTTTTACCACGTGTTCCTATCAGGAAAGAGTAAATACATTTGTGAGAATTTGAGTGTTTCACAAATGTGACCCTATGCCCTTCCAGCAATGAAACTGATGATCTTTTCAATTTCCTCTTCTAATCTACGTGTCTTAAATTACGTAAAATAAAGCCTAAACTGACTGCCTAAGTAATGGTGAGAGAGATCATGTGCTATGTGTGAACACACGGGCAAGTCTGCACGGGAGAAGGAGGCTGAGTCTTGGAGCCAGAGCTCTCCTTGAGCCCTGATTTTGGATCATTGGCAAGTCACTTAACTTCCCTGACCTCGGTTTCCTCATCGGTAATTCAAGGAGAATTAGATCTACTTCACTGCATTGTTTGGAGGATGAGACAAGTCATCTATGAAGAATCTAGCACAAAGTAGGTGCTAATTAAATGTCAGGAGGCACCACAGCACCCATTCTCAGGCTAGTGCTCGATAATGCCCTTATGTTCATTGTGTCGGGAAGTTCCCTGAGAACATAAGGGCATTACAGGCGAGAAAGAACTTCAGATTTGATATTAAAGCATATAGCTTTCACCCTGGATTCCCATATTATATAAACTTAAATCTCTGTGTAAAATAGGGTTATGTAGTTATAGCCTCTCATGGTTGCAGTGGAGATTAAAGAGATGTATCCAAGTGCCCCACAGTTAGTGTTTTCCTTTTCTTGTGACAAGTTTTATATACTTGTTGAGACTGCTACCTCTTCTTACTTTTCATTGCTACTGTGATGGTGAACTGATAATTATTAAAGGCAAGGTGTTTAGATGGTGATCCTGGAGAGAGAGGAGGAAGGTCCCAGCTGGAGTGAGTGCTGTTGGGAGGGTCACTTCTCTTAAACGATTTGTCTAGAACCACTGATTTGTATGGCGACTGGGGTCCTAACATTACAGGGCCTTGTT